ACAAATTATCGTGCAGATATGTCCAATGGTTCAAAAGATAGAGCAATTTATGTCAAATTTCAAAATGGCGGACAGGTGGTTCAGTCGATCCTGGCAAAATTAACATCAGCAGATTCGGCATGACCCAAGGAATCCATAGACACCAAGATAATAATTTTCTGACTAATTGTTCAAAAGTTATAAGCTAAAATGTGCATTTTTGATATCTCAACACCCATAGGTGGCGCTGTTCCCAACTTTGGCGTGGGCCCTCAGATCATGGTGTTGATGAATCGTACCAAGTTTGGTTTCGATTGATCAATGTTTGGCCGAGATACAGGCTCTGAACCAATCACAGGTGAACCTTGTTAAGTTCACAACATCATAACTTTTGAACAAAGATGAATAAAAAAAAATTGGTTCAGTCCTGTCTGTGCAGCTCAGTCCAAAGATCATTTGAGCCAATTTTGGGAAGAATTGGATCAATTTTGAAGGAGTAGTAGGGAATAGACTATTTACTGTACTTTTCAAAATGGCCGCTACTGTAATGGGCGGGGTCTTAATGTAAGCTATTGAATGTGATCTGCATGATGAGTGCAATCAGGTGTATTAAGTTTAATTTTTCTAGAATCAGGGGTTCAAGAGTTATTTCTATTTCAATGTTAAATTTTTGAACTGGTGGTGGCGCTATAGAGTTGGTCCTAGAGACCCCAAAGTTGGTCAGATCACTAGTCATGGCCATCACTACAAGTGTGCCAATTTTCATCATTTTCCTACTTTCCCTTCATAGGGCTGCCATAGACTCCCATTGGACGAGAATAATAATAATAATAATAATAATAATAATAAAACATACAGATACAATAGGGGCTACAGCCCTTTGGGCTTGGCCCCTAAATATAAATAGAGGTACAATTAGCATCAAGCTAAATTTGAAAATGTGATTGTTTTTTGCTTAAAACCCACTTTAAACCATCACCGAGTGCTTGTAATAACTTCCGATTGAGATCTAAAGTGGATTTGTATTCTATAATAGGCAGACATGCACTCTTTGTATGTTTTATAATGGATTGAACACGACACCTGCTTCTCATTTGTCATAAATATCCTTTATTGTTATCTAAACATACAGAAAATATATCGTCATAATCATATGTCTATTTGCTTTCATATTTCATGTATAGATAAATGTTTCTCTAATTTTTTCATATGTAAAGGCAGGACATATGATCCCATGATTAACAGATCTTGAGTGAACGCGCTCTAATAACTCATAACACTTAGGTCATGTGCCCAGAGCAGCAGCTGCTCTGGGCACATGACCTAAGCTGAAATCTGATTGGATGGCCCGTTTCGTCGCAGAGTGATGCGAAAAAAATTGACACAAAGGACGAAAAAAAAATCCTTGCTTTTTCGCGCCGTGAATGATCACACCTGGTGTGAATAGCTCCATAGGGATTTATTGTTTCGATTCAAAAGTTTTTGCATTCAGTGTGGAAAAGGCCTTTAGGCAGCTGGGGTGTGCGATAAGACGATTTTTGATCGTGGACGATTAAAATGTCTCCACGATCTGCTTTTGAAGAAATATCGTAGTATGGTGCTACAGCGCACATTCTATCAGCTGCAGTTCTGGCGCCTCCGGCTCAATATACTGTACAACGCGACATACATTCACATCAGTGTTAACCCAGCAGCAGAGTTACTCTCACAGGACACTGCACTTATTCGCAATCACAAAAGTACATTATTTGCATGTGCTTTAAAGCCTTGCCGGTTAAAGGGATAGTTCACCCAAAAATGAAAATTTGATATTTATCTGCTTTCCCCCAGGGCATCCAAGATGTAGGTGACTTTGTTTTTCAGTAGAACACAAACGAAGATTTTTAACTCAAACCGTTGCAGTCTGTCTGTCATATAATGGCAGTCAATGGGCTCCACGGCTTTGAGAGTAAAAAAAACAAACATACACAGACAAAACCAAATTAAACCCTGCCCATTGACTGCCATTATATGACAGACAGACTGCAACGGTTTGAGCTTGGATGCCCTGGGGGAAAGCAGATAAATATCAAATTTTCATTTTTGGGTGAACTATCCCTTTAAATGTTTCATTCGCGTGCTGGTCTGACGTGCGTTTTCTCTGAGCATGTACACCCGTAGCGCGCGCACTAAAAAACCTGTTAAACAGCGCCTGATCAGTGATCACTAAGTTATCTTTTGTGCTAATACTGTCAAAACACACAAGGTTTACATATAGACTCAGTTGGTTATGTCTAAAATGAAAGTAAACAGCTGAGAGAAAAACGGATGCGTGACTGTATATTAGATGCGCACAGCTCTTAAAGGGACAGTACTAAACATCCTGCCGACTGTCATTAAAGGGATAGTTCACTCTATAATTTAATTTCTGTCATTATTTACTCACATGTTGTCCCAAACCTGTAGCTATTAATTTCTTTCTTGTGCTGGACACGAAAGAAGATATTTTGAAGAATGTGGGTAACCAAACAGTAGCTGGTCCACACTGACTTTGATGGTAGGAAAAAAATACTATGGAAGTCACTGTGGCCCAGCAACTGTTTGGTTTTCCATGTTCTTCAAAATAGCATTCATGTTCAGCAGAAGAAAGAAACTCATTCATATTTAAAACCACTTTTGAGTGAGTAAATGATGGTATAAAAATAAAACACTGTGGTAGAATTGACAGACAGATGACTTTTATTTTTGGGTGAAATATTGCTTTAATGTTAATAAAACAACAAAACACAAAGAGAGAAATCACTCACTATTCTTGACTGAAAAACTTTAATACAGTTGCTTTAATATGAATCAATCTATATAGTGTTTTATTCTTATATTTGTTCATTAAATTTCTTGAATGCTCCTGCTAAATACACCTATTGACCTAAAAATAAAACACTGTTTGTTTTATTTGTTTATTATGTGTATTTGTAATGTGTATCTTTGTTCTTATTTTTTAATAACAAAGATAAAATAATGACAGATTTTTATCTTCGCCCACTTTAGCCTAAATATCCACCATTCTTTTTTTATATTTTGTTACCTTGAAAGGCTTTGTCTTTATAATAGGGAAATTAGTTTGGCTGTAATGCTCAGACAACTTGCAAAATAGTAAAACCAACATGACAAAGAATCGTGATAAAATCGTGATATTTCTGAAAAATAAATTTGTGATATGATATTTTTGCCATATCGCCCACCCCTACTTGCTACCTCACTGCCTTATCAGGCAATGACTTTGCAGGCAGCGTTTTTGTACAAAGGCACCTCATGAAACTGATTCCAGACAGGCTTCTGAGGCAGTGTAATGATTTAATGATCTACAACAAAATAGAATGAGTTTTGGATGTGTGTGTGTGTGTGTGTGTGCGCGCAGTGTTTCAGTAGTCCCAGGGGAATGAGAAACAGGTGCACTGTAATCAGCGCCAGGTACGGGGTCATGGGAAATGAAGTCTGTGGAGAAATTAATACTCCGGGGAGGGTGCCCTCTGGTGCCGGTCGAGAGGAACCACAGAGGCTGAATTCGTGACACTGGGCTTTAGTGCCATTTGGATATTACTCTTATGTGTTATGTATGATTTGGATTATGTAGTGATAGGATGTAGAAAGGATGTAGTGATATCTGGAGTTTCTGCACACTACCACTAGTACTCCATAGATCCATACATGTATTAATTTATTTATTAAAGGGGTCATCGGATGCAAAACTCACTTTTACATGTTGTTTGAACATAAATGTGTGTTGGCAGTGTGTGTTCACAACCACCCTATAATGATAAAAATCCACCCAGTGGTATTTTTTAATCTCTATAAATAAATACCCCTTTTTCAAATCAAGCCATTCTCTGATTCTTGGCTGTGTGACGTCACACAGACTCAGGCCCCTCCCACGATAGTTGATTGACACTGCCGTCTTACCGTAGACCCGCCCTGAGTGAGCTGTAACAGTCTGACCACCATTGTTTCGACGCCGGAGCAGGGACATAGGCAAGAATGTCTCCTAAGAGATTGAGGTGCTTTGTTGTTGGATGTATGAATGAACATAGCATTTGTCATTTACTCCTGACATCTGAGTCAGTTAAGACACAGAGGATTAATGTTACTTTCGTTTTTGAAGGGAATGCGCCCCCCGATGTACCTAAATGTGTTTATGTTCACGTGAATCATTTGTGATCCAGCTTCACCTAGAGATGAAGTGAGTGTAAGGGTTTTCTATGAATCTTTGCAAATCGCCTTTCCTAATAGTGTGCTAGTTAGCAAGTTTCGCGGCTAAATGTAGCTAAAGTAAACAGGATGGCTTGTCACCCCACAAAAGAGAGGGGTGGGATGAGCAGAGCTCATTAGCATTTAAAGGGAAATGCAACAAAACGGGTTGCAGTGAAAAGAGCTGATTTTAACAAGGTAAAATGGGTGTTTTTACACTACCACTGAGAAATTCTAACCAAAGTATGTTATAGACTTTTCATTAAGACCCTAAATAATCATATCAACTTGTGGAAAATGGGCATCCGATGACCCCATTTAAAGAAAGAATAGTAATAATAATAATTATTATTATTTAATTTTTTTTTAAAATACGAAATGATTTATTGCGACATACAAAGCACAGATCATGAATCTACATTTCATATCATTCCCCCTTGTTTTTTTTTTTTTTTTCTTTATCTTTGTTTGGAGTGAGGGGGTTACTATGACCTTGGCATCATTTTTATATTGATGTAAATTAAGTTTTCTTGCTTACACATAGGTCTTATTAAGGACTTGCATCCAGATTTATTCGTTTCAAGAACACTGACAACACACTCATCTTGAATTTAGAAAGATCCCAAAATATCTTTTGCCTGCTGCTTCGGCTGCAATATATATTTAGCACATAACAGACACAGACAGCTAGAGCACTTACTCTCCCTTCAGAAAAGCCCAAAACCTTCCCAGTCCATTCTTCTGAAGCTGCTGTCAGATCGGCTGCTTTACCAACCCTGGTGTCGCCTGTCTTACAGGATCAGCCCCGCAGTACATGGGCCAGGAGGAGTTCTACGGAGAGCAGTATGGACACACTCAGAGCTCCAGCGAGCCTGTTAGCCAACAGTATTACTCAGATGGTAACCAAGCTCTCATCCAGAAATTATCCTCATTCATTCATTCATTCATTCATTCATATATATCACAACCCTGTTTCTGAAATATCTTTTTCCCCCCATAAAAATATGACTAAAGCAGACTTGAGAACAAGCTTAAGTTCTATAAGAGTGTCTTCATTGCCTGTAAATCTTTTTTTTTTTTGGTGTGCTGAAATTTCAGATTTGTCTTTCCTTCCACGCTTTGTTGTTGCTGGCTAAAAGATTGGTCATTTGAGGCTTCTGTTTTCTTTTGTGTGAGTTTGTATGTCAATTCAAAGTAGGATGCACACATCTAAAAATCTGTTAAACAGGTGCTCGATCAAGAGAAAGCTTAGTTGAAATGCAAAAAGCCCGGCACACTATTTTACTTTTATTTATTTATTTATTTTTTGCTTCCAAAAAACGATAATGTAGTTTCATGAACCACAAGCAGTCTTCATCAGGCAAAAACACAGCAAATATCAACAACTTTTATATCAACACAATGAACAATCACACGTTTAATTTACATAATGTTTAAATTACATGAAAAATAACAGTGTGCTGGTCTTTTTGCATTTCAGCTGAATTTGTTTATGTGCAAACAGTTGTCTGAATGTCTGCGAGGGCAATTTGTTCCACTTTTGTTTTTTTTCCCTGTAGGTGTGTACTATTATGTCTTTTTTCAACAGGCCATGAGGAGTATTCCTATCAGCAGTCTTCCTATGGGGAGCAGAATTATGAGAGATCCTTTGACGAGTCGTCACAACACTATTACGAAGGCGGTGAGTTCCAACTCAGTATGTTCAGGACCAAGCTCAAAAATCAAGTTTTATTATAATATAGGGTTACTCACACACACACACACACACACACGTTGGTATATGTGGTTTATGGGGACTCCCCATAGGCGTAATGGTTTTTATACTGTACAAACTGTATTTTCTATCCCCTTACCATAACCCCACACCTAAACCTAGGTTTTAAGCCATCTTGTTCAGGACCAAGCTCAAAAATCAAGTTTTATTATAATATAGGGTTACTCACACACACACACACACACACGTTGGTATATGTGGTTTATGGGGACTCCCCATAGGCGTAATGGTTTTTATACTGTACAAACTGTATTTTCTATCCCCTTACCATAACCCCACACCTAAACCTAGGTTTTAAGCCATCTGGTTTACAAGGACACCGGAAGTGTTTTCATGTGTTAAATTAAATGAGTACTTGAAGGAGGGGTTATGCAATAATCATGATAAAAATTAAACAATTATGATATATGATTGAGGGGCAAATCTTAGACCCGGCCTTGCAGCGGGGGGTACTGCAGCACCCTCAGCACTCCTAGCTCCCACGGCTATTGCTATAAAACATGATTAAATGTCCTACTGACAGTCCTCGAAGTGACTGAATAATCATTTTCCTTTTATGCAACAAGTGGGACCGTGAAGCACCAATTTTTCAAAACCAGCTGTACCTTCCAATACTGCATGACGTTCGAAGTTTCAAACATCATCAATCACGTGGTATTGTCATTTCGATACAATCATCGGCACTGTGTGTGATACAGTAGTGGTCAATTGTCTCATCACTACTTTTGTTGCTGGAGTATTGCACCTGTTTCTTTGTGTTTTCTGTTACGCTGTGTTGTGGATTACCTTTTGTCTTTGTTTTCTGCCTGTTGCCCTGTTTTGGATCTTTGTTTCTTGGATTAAACAGCACTTTGATCTTCAGTGTTCTCCCTGAGTATTCCGTGACAGAATACTGAAGCCACTACAGATCCAACAGTTGGGCAGTGTTTGTCTGTTTTCTTTTGGACCATGGGCATTCAAATTCTTTCTCCAGCCACTAAGAAGGAGCGGATGGCACAACATCAGTCCTTGATGGCTCTGCACCAGCAGGGAATGGAGGTAGGAGGCTTCGCCCAGACATTTTAGACTTTGGCGGTGGGGCTGGATTATAATGATGTGCTCAAGGATTTTTTTTTTATGTTTCCCTGGATGACCCACTTCCCTGTGTGAGATGGAGGGACTTAGGATCCTGGATTTCTGGGATTTCATCAAATACCTTCATCTGGAGGACCTGACTCCTGTGGTCCCAAGTGGTGGTTCTGGAGAACCCGACTCTGGTGGTCCCAGAGGTTACTGAGCAGCCCGCTCTCCTTGGCTGCACTCCATTTCACATTTAAACGCACTCGCGAACTTCACTAAGCACTTCCCCTCGGGGGAATCCCCGCTGCCATTTCGAAGTGTGTTCCACTTCGTGAAGTGGACGAGGGAAGTTTATATGGACAGACCCTTGACCCCTCCATTTTGACTGAGGGAGCGAGTTTGCTTCATATTCACACTTCAGGCCACTCCACAGAGCACAATGCAAAGCGATTATGACGCCATCGCAGATCAAGTTTAATTGAGGAGGATTATTAGTTTATTGTTTATCTATTAGAATAGAGGATTCTAAGTGATCAAGGGCTTAGGACGTTCCAATTCAGCCCATTCCAAGGGTTCCGCCAGTATTGGGCACTCATGCAACATAATCAATAACGTACATCCGAATAAACGAGACAGAGGGAAGTTTGCGAGTGAAGGGCATAAAAAATGAACTAGAACGCAGCCCTAGTCTCACCCATGTTCCTTGCCCTGCCGGCTCCAACCAAGCTCATTGCCCTGCCAGCCCCACTTAAGCTCTCTGCTTTGCTGGCCCCACTTAAGCTTCCTGCTTTGCTGGCCCAGGAGAATGCCTCAGAACCTGCTCCAGTCCAGGAGCCCTTAAAATCCACTCCAGAGCCCGCTCCAGTGCGGGAGCCCTCAAGAGTCCACTCATGAACCCGCTCCAGTCTGGGAGCCTTTAGAGTCCACTCCAGTGCCCGCTTCAGTGCGGGAGCCTTTAGAGTCCACTCAAGAGCCCACTCCAGTCTGGGTGCCCTCAGAGTCTACTCAGGAACCCGCTCCAGTCTGGGAACCTTTAGAGTCCACTCCAATCCGTCAGCCCTCAGTGTCCACTCCAGAACCTGATCCAATCTATGAATCTGCTCCTAAGCTCACTCAAGTTTACGAGTTCATTCCAGAGCTCACTCAAGTCTACGAGTTAATTCCAGAGCTCGCTCCAGTTTACGAATCCACTCCAGAGCCCACTCAAGTCTATGAGTCTGCTCCAGTTCCTCCTGAGGTGGCAGCTTCTGCTGCAGAACCTGCCAAGGTGGTGGTGGAAGTTGCTAAGGGAGTAGATGTGACAGTGATCCCAATGACCACAGAAGTAGAATGACCTATAAGGAAATTAAATTGATAATTATAATTAGAAATATTAATCTCAGGATATTCTACAGTAAACTGAGCATACACAATGGCTGCTGTGCTACTAACTTTCCTGCCACATCTGCTGAGGTTGAAACAGATATGGAAGGAATAGTAGGATCAGTGGATAAAGGTGCTGGTAAGTGCTCCTCACCTGCAGAGGATGGACCTGATGAAAGATGAAAATAATAAAAATTATAAAAATATAATAATACAATATAAAATAAAGTTAGCCATATTAAATGTCAATATGATAGGTAATGCAAGGTAATGCTAGGTAACTGTCTGTCAAAAACAAACAAACAAAAAATATCTCTCAAAAGGCATGATTTATCCATATAAATATATTGATCTGGGATTGTTGAAAACTCACCTGCTGTATCATCATCAGCTGTAGCACTGGCACTTGGGGCAGGTGGCGTTGGTTGTGCCCCACCTCCAAAATATTTCAACAGTGCTCCTAAGGAAGTTTTAAAAGAGTATTAGTTGACGGAACAGAATGTTATTTTAACATTAAAAAAAGTTATTTCAACATGTTGTAAGTAATGTTAAACTGTTATCAGTACCAATTGTATAAAACAGAACCTTTTTTATTTCAAAATATATACCCAGGAAAGATATTTTTACAAAGAAGACAAAAACTTTAATCTAAAACCAGCTAAGTAATGTAAATGTAAATGTAAGTAATATGTTGTATTATATAATATATTAAGATATCAATGCTATTTATGGATGTTTAATCAAACATTAACTTTCTTGCTATGTTAATTAACTAGCCAGCTAATGTTAGCTTGCAATATAGCCTATAGTTTAGTTTACATGAATTGTCTTAACTTACCTTTATCTTGCTGTTTTTTCCTCTTCCTCAGTTTTCTTCTTTTTTATTTTCTCTGCACCAGAAGGATATGTCCTTTTTTGTGACATTAATCAACTTCAGTAATCAGTCATAGTCTGACTGACTGTGCTTGCATCCTGCACCCTGGTAAAGGCACAATATGTACGATTTTTTTATTAAAATATCCAAAAACCACTAGAACAGTGTTATATATTTTGCTGACTTGTGTACTTGCATTTGGCATCATCAAACTACGCCTTTGTCTCTTTGTTTGTTTTGAATAAGTGCCCTCTAGCGGTGAAAATTACATATTGTGCCTTTAACATATTGCGTTTTATAGCTGCAAGGAGGACGATATCGTCGACAAAATCCAAATCCACAATTCGTCTACCATCTCCCCCAAGCAAGCCATAGTAGCCTGGTTCGGTGACATGTCGCATGACGAAATCTACGGCGAGGATGAAGAGGAACGGCGAGATCATGCATCCCTGGTGGACACCAGTATTAATCCAGAAGTAGTCAGAATTGCCTCTGTCCATGCGAACACAGCAACTGGTTTCATAGTAGATGTTCCTTAAAATGTCGACAAACTTTGCTGGGAAACCGTAGCTTTGCACTGTTTTCCACAGTGTTTCTCGATGAATGCTAATTAATTGATAGCTTCCATTGGAACTCGGTGCGTTGCTTGATAAAATTCCTCAAGACAAAAAAACATTTGTTCAATACATGATCTCCCACTTCGGAAACCAGCCTGCTCCTCTCACAATAGTGCGTCATCACTTGACGGAGGTGTCGAAAGAGAACCGAGCACAAAACCTTGCTGGTTCATTAAGGCGGTCATCTTGTCAATTAGGGCTTGGCCACCATACTTGAGCATTTCCGCTGATATCTCGTCGATGCCGGGTGTGCGACCACACCAAAGGGCCATAACTGCCGCTTTAATTAGATACATAGTGTGTACAAAAATAAACATAATGTTATAAAGTACGTCTGCACAAAAGGGCTCCCACTGTGGATGCACTCTTCCAGTAACAATGTGCTAAAATGCTTTCGAAACCATGGTTTCACTTATATAGCAGTTATGCAATCATCGTTTTCATGATCAATCATTACTGTCGTTTCCGAGTTCTCATGCCCATCAGTTGTCTTGGCCAAGGGTGGCACAAGATGACACCTGACACCCAAAAAATTAGCCAAACCAAGAAAGGGTTTATACTCACCACATCCGCACAAGCACAAATTTGTCTGGATTTTAAAAAAAGAAATGGTGCTGTTATGTGTAACTAGTTCCTTTAGTTTATTGCTTCTGGTAATTTTTTAGAATTGCTTGATGAATCAACGTACTTCCATGAGAATCGATTGGTGAGTTCCTGAAGTTCTATCACCCTTATGCCGACAAATGCTTTAAATTGGCATAACTCGGAATGCAGTCAAGACAACAAGTGAGCTCATGCTCCTGCAGCCTGGTGAGTTGGGCTCTTGTTAAAGCGGCACAGGGCTCTAATCTCGGAATTGAATGCAGTCTTTTTGGTGTGATTCTTGAACAGACCATAATGAAAGAGAGCTAGGGCTGACCTTGACTATTTACTGTTCTCAAGTAGGCAACAACTCCATAAGCTTGCTCTGATGTGTCACAAAACATATTTTTTAT